ACACCGACACACCGACACACCGACACACCGACACACCGACACACCGACACACCGACACACCGACACACCGACACACCGACACACCGACACACCGACACACCGACACACCAACAGACACACTTAGCGAATTATATAAAGTAGGAAAGTAGGATATTTTCACGAATAGAAGATGCAGGCTATACCAGTATGTTTGTTCTGGGTGGGGCTGATGATTTCTGGGCATAGGGTCTCTCTAGCTTTGCTCCACGCTTGATCAGTCTTCTCTCGGGACCACTATGGCCTCTTACCCATTCGCTCTTCCGGCAAAAAGAGGAACATGATGGAAGAACACAAAAAGGAAGTTTCTGTGTTTTCGATCCCTTGGTCCATATAGTTATGAGTGTTGTAGTATTTATTTTTGGGAACTCTTTTTCAAAATAACTGATTGCACCCTCATCGTATCGGTCAGGCTCATGTGGTAGACTTCCATAATGACATCTGTGAAGGCCTTTTTCCATTCAGTTACACCCTCTTCATTATCTTGAACTTTATTAAAAACTAAAAATGGTTTTCCCAGATTTCCATCGCTTCTCGTTTCTTTCATGTGATTTTGAGTAGTTTTCATTCTTGGTTAGGTTCCGTGACTATTCTGAATTTGCGCCAGTGCTAATGGAGCCATGCCAGTCTCTTGAATAATTATTGCCTGCATCGCATCATTCTCGCCAAAAGCATCAATATCCTGGGCTTTTGCCTTCAAACCTTTCAGTGAGTTACTTGACGGTTTTCTATCTTACTACTCCCTGAGGGCTTGTTAAAACATTAAAACAACCCATCGGGAACACTTGCTGAGGTAGAGCAGTCACTGGGAAAGCAGCATTGCAGTCGTATATCCGTTCCGTCTTATCGTCTTCGACATTCCGAGTGAAATGCTGGGCGCGTCCCACAATCGGGAATGACTAATGCCAGAAGGCTTTAACTTCCAAAGACTTTCCCAGGGTCAGATCCCACTTCGTTCCGTTGGAAGTTCACATCACAATGGTATCGGCTGGTGTACACACTACGAAAAGCGTTCAGTTTCCCTAAAGACCATTCATATAAGTGATCAGTGTTGTTTACCCCTATTGTCTCTTCCAGGTAACTTTGTTAGTTCAAAGCTCATTCGACTGGTCCAGGCGATTTCAAACATGATCGGAATGTACTTCCTTTCAGTCAGGTTCAAGCATTTGGTCGTCGTTTTTTATTTGGGTCCTGTCATTTCGATTCAAATGTTTGTCCTGAGCTTACCACAAAAGTCATCGTGTGCTTCCAGAAGGAGGCAAGACGAAACGCCCTCAAATGCTCAAATGGGTGCCCGGACCTCGCTAGGAGGCTAGGTGTCACTTGCCAAAGTACCGATTTTCTGCAGCGTATTCTCTACATCTTTTCTCAAGCAGCTCCCACTTGCTGCTCTTACACGATCTTACCGCTAGAATCCTCGCTCTGATTTCATCATTCCGTTCCAATGGAAATTGTTCAGAGACAGTTCCGATGTGGGATACAGAATCGTTAAATTGATCAACCTTTTCACTTGGGAGGTGGTGTTGAATAAGATAGTCATGGTTATAAACTACGTTATGGCGTCGTCCTTCGTTAACGAGAAGGCAGAAATGTGTCATCGTGATGGTCACATTTTTAGTGTTTGCCCCGACAAAAAAAAATCATTTTTGATGGAATAGATAATCTTTTAATACGATATAAATCCGTCCCCCGCTCGGATCATAACAATAAACATCATGAGTTCGCCGAAAGTGCAGTCTTCCATTGATCATCCTCGTGATATGTATGAGCATAAAAACAATCATAATTCAGAATAATCCCAACGTCACATAATAGTCATGTGGTGTTCCTCTTCATAGGCAGCATCGGTCGGTATCAAAAATATCTAGCGGGAAGTTTTGGAGTCGATTTCCCGAACATGCAAATCGAAGCCGCGACGTCGTCTTGTGATCAACTACCCACATTCAGTTCATTATAGGAGATATTTGGGGTTATTCAAACTTTTCTTTTCTTAATGAGAGTCGAAGAAGAGAGTATTCGAGTTGATTTTGCTATTCAATGTCTGCAAATGCGTTTTAATTTTCCTAACCGCAAGAATGCATGTTTTCCTTTTCTTCTTCAACCACCTACTTTTACGAATTTTCTAATGATTTTCGATGAATAAACTATGATCGCGTGAGCTTCAACGATGCCATCTGTAATCACGTATGTATTCATGCCAATATTCTCATTAGGACATCATTTCAGTTATGCCGACATCCGTTAACGGCGTGAACTTCTTCAATCCAACCGACGAAGACGACGAACACGTACAACAGTCGTCTACTGATCAGGCAGCAGTAATCGATCCTCTAGATTCACTTAAGAACTGCTCACTAAGTAAGTTGAATCGATTGGTTGATTTTTTTCGCAGTCATTAGTCCCATCTTTGGTGTGTTCTCTTCCTGCACCAAGCATCAAAATCGCGGTGACTGACATAGGTGAAGGAGCTAATGGTCCTACACGATATCAGGACCGCTGGTGGTCCTAAAGACTAGAGCCGTAGCAAGAGGTAATTCTTCAGCCCCTTTGCCCTTTTCATTGCTCCAATTTGTGAAATCGAGTAAATATACGAAAGTAAGGCCACCTCGGCATACTAGAACGACACTACATAACAGAATACTCATAATAGGATTTAGTGGGGATATGAAGAGATTGACTACTAAGGAGGATAGCAGGATAAAAGGTTCGGCAAAGTTTTGGGGCGTTAATCATTCCCGTCTGAAAGATGCGCAGTCCCAATCGACTTCCATTCAGATTCGTAGTGGAGTATTGAATGCGTGTGTGGCATATATAATGATTTGCGGTGGTCGGCCGATGTATAAGTCGGTGCTTTCATCCTCCCAGACGGATCTGGCACCAATTAACCGATCCCGGAGGTGTGGAAGGCTTGCTTGGCCTAGGCGGATACCGATCCAGGATTCGAACCTGTGACCATGCATTTGTGTGAGATAGTGCGCCACTTGTCCCTACATCACCTCCTCCCACAAAAAACTCTTTATATACCAAAAATGTACTCTGATTTCGAAATGTTCCTCTAAAGGAATTTGTCTGCGTCCCTATGATGCTTCAATATACGATGCATCCTGAAACTATCGGTTCACTGCTAGGATTAGTCTCTCTTATGCGTCGAATCGGTCGGTAGTCCGCTTGTGTCTACTGCACCTCGCAATCTCTGATTAGGTGGCTGTCTGATCCCTTTCTTTTCAGCAGGAAGTGACTGCGAAATTTTAACGGCGACTACCAAATATTTGCCATGCAGTTCAAGCGGAAATCGGGCGAAAAAGATCTAAAAAATACAGCAGTAAACGGGAGCAGAACATCGTCGATACAACCAATCCAAATGCATAGGAATCCAGCTGGACGTCAATCAGACAATCCACCGATATCCAAAATTGGGATGGAGAACAGTTTATTACCTGGAACATCTTTAATAGAACATAGTGCATCGAAAAACGGCCAAAAAGTTGCTCACGACAAAGAGGATTCATTGGCTCAAAAAGCTGATTCGCAAAATTCCGTTAAGTCCCCGTCCAGTCAATACCTTAACGAGCACAGAGCGCCTCTGGAAAGCTGTTCTGCTTCAAGGAATTCAGCGCTCAGAAACACAAATAGAGACTCTCCACAGGTACTCGTACCAAGGCAGAAGCAAAACCAGCTAACTCTGCCAGAGGTACAATCAGGTTCAACTTCCAAACCGGTCGGAGCGCACCAGAACGCTGTCAGTTCTTCATCACAAGTACTTCCGTTGAAGACGAATCCGCCCAGGAATTCACAACTCACTGCGACAGGCAAGCCAGAGGCAGTGTCGATCTCGCAGTGCATGGCATCTGAACAAGGACACTCTGCTCGGCCAAATAGAAGCATACTGAGACCGTCTTCGTTGCAGCGGCGTCCACCTCAACAAAACTATAATAAGGTTTCGCTGAGAACTATACCTTCTCAAGAAAGTGCTAGTAACGTCCACCCTAGCGTACTCTCATGTAAACAACCTAGACGTGGGCGTAGTGTGCACTACACTTCTAAACTGGAATCACCTACGGGTTCTCCACCGCATCGAAGCCAGCCCCGTTACTCTCGAAGTTTCACTGGTGTATCTAGGCACCGAGACGTGGACAGTGTAGACTCTGATGAGTTGTTGAAAATGAAAAAAGATGGCACTGGGCCGCTCATAGTAGAGAGGGGCAAGGAGACAGGCAGTAGCTACCTACTGCAACCAATGAACAAGAAGACCAGATGCAAAAGCTTACCGTCTTCACCTTTTGTGACAGGAATTGAGAAACCAGTGCGTGCTAGTTCTCTTCCACCAAACTGGAGGCTCGGCCGCCAGGCCGCTGGTGGCACCAGAAGTCGAAGGAGCTCACACGGCCGTAGCGAAAATGTTCTCGCTTCAAGTAGTAGGCGACGATATTCGTCGATGGAAACATGCAGTGATGAAACATCTTACGATGTCTCCGGTGTGACCAGCGCCTTTCTTCCAGTCCCAAAACAGCATAAACCTAAATCGGCTTACACGACATATTCACCACGTGAGCAGAAAACACAAAAAGATGGGTCAGATAAGGAACTATCAGTATCAACAAAGAAATCAAGCAAAGATCAAGCAGTACCTCCTTCGAAGAAAGGGGATCAGATGCTTCGCAAAACTGCGAAGGTATTTCCGTTATGGGAGAAGGTCCTATCGCCGGAAGCATCTAGGTACGAGTCTCTGAACTCATCTTCGTTCATAGTTACAATGCTCAACGATGCATAGTTGTTTTTCGAAATAAAATAATCCCGATATTCTCGTTCTGCTGAGAATGGGCATATGGAATACGTCGTCCTGTAGAATCCTAGTTACATGCATCATTTTTCGTAAATCGAGAAGGTACTATTAGATAACTGAAAAGTTCCTGTTTCCTACTCCTGCTTATGCTCAATTTCATCTCATGATCACGCATACAAGATGTTCAGGGAAGTTTTATGACCGTATGTGTCTCGGTAGTTCTCCTTCTCCAATCACGCAGGATTCGTGGGTATATTTAGAGGAAAAATGGAACCTGATTCACTAATCTGTCACAATTCCGTCAAATCATTTGTAAAATTTTACTACAGTGTATCCCATGACTTGCAAACAAATATTTCTTTACTAACAAATAGCCGCGAGACGACGTTTTTTGAATTTTGATTATTTCATTCTTAGGGCAGAACAGAGGCGCAAAAAGTTAGCCAGAAAAGTGTCTTCTCAAGGTTTGTGCTGTTTTTGTGCTTATTGGCGCATAGTCTAACATAAGCTATCGATTGACGCGCAAGGCGTTTACGTCTCTTTTAGCTGATTTGAACTTGCATTGAACCAAAGTCTTTTTTTGTCATGCTTACCACTGAGAAGGGATAGAGAATTTAGAAAGATCGTGGAAAACTTTATAGAAGACCGTGCTGTTGAAGTCAGTGTCTCTCGAGTTGCCTTGCAAGCTTTTGAAAAAGTTGTAGGGAAAGACTGAGTTATAACCTTTTTTGTTCGAAATTAGGTGTTCGTATACCCTCCGCAACCAAAGATACAGCAAAATTGATTCTTTGCAAAATATTGTGTTTCAAGATGCTTATCGGAAGATTTTTCTGGGGTTAGAGCCAAAGATACTCCCACAAAGGACAACTCCGCCCATTCCACTAGTTTCAACACGTCAACGGTTCCATGGTTCGCCACGCGGTACCGTGTGCTCTTCTCTTAACTAGATTCAAAGTGTGAGCGTATCGTCCTAGAAAGGCTGATTTGTATATTCTCAGGGTAAAGTGGATGCAAATATATATACAAACAAACAAACATGCAGACATATATATATATGTATATATATCGTCGAGATTAGGAATACTTATGTCACGCGTTAAAACGCTAGTGAGACGGTACTGTCGAAACACAACTTTATTGGTGCTTCAGACTTGGGTAACTAAACAATGGATCATCAGTAACAAACAACAATCAATGCAAAGGTTTTGTAAGAAACTTCAATCGTTAAATGATATAAAAGTAGCGCAATGGAGGAATGTACGAAACAATAAATGAGAACCTTTATAAGAGATATCAATCGAGAAGTGAAAATAAAGGTTAAAGGAAAGAGGCTAAATGTTGAATGGTGCCCCAGGAGGAGTGTCGCGGCTATACATACTGCGTTTGGGCGCGAAACCTATATTTGATCTACTGTTGAGAAAGATCATAAGGCAGCGACTGTAATCGCGGTTTAACAACCGCGATGCAGGAGCGGTAAAAAAAGATAATTTTGCATTAAGTTGCACCACCACAAGAACATGATGGTGCTGATAACGAGAATGATGTCCGTTCTCTGATGGAGGCATTACTCGCCAGGTTGTTGCAGGCACAATACACACCGGCCTTTAGAAAGAAATGCATACTCAGCTTCTTCCACTTTTTTTCATAACTCAGGACGAAATTCTTGATAGAAAATAAAGCACACCTCAATTAGCATGTTTGCGGATTAGTGCTGATCCCAATGGTTAAATGTGGAAGCCGAGAATTTGCAGTTTATGGGAGAAAACGCTTGAGAGTACCCATCATACTCCACGTTGACCCTCGTAGCCTAGAAATGCGTCCCGATGTCAAATCGCAGCGTCGACGATAAGAGATATTTTGCATATGCATTTTCTTCTTTGGAAAAGGCCTACTAGAGGCCTAAGCGTCGAAGGGCATGCCTTGTGCCAAGTCCACTGTCATGATCTCACAGAACCCCTTGTTCGTGTACTGTAATTAACATCGTTTTTAGGTGATGCAGCATTAAATCAACGCAGTTTAGGTAAGATATGTCGTAAAGTGATATCTGTATATGCAGTACATGTGTGCCTGATGTCTCTACTCGTTTTTGGGGACAAAGTGCTCGATTACGCTTCTCTACACTCTACGCATTGCACAGCGCTTGCTTTATTGGCTTGATGCTGTACAGTAATACCCTTATGGCTTCTGATTTGATTTATTTTAAGAGGCCGTCGATAGTGATCTGTTTGACACGGGACCGTTTCGGCCATCGTACGCATTGGGCACGTACACCAGTCATGGTGGAGCCCCGTACGAAATCTCCAACACCCCTATTGAGGTGAACGAAAGCCGAAAGCAGCAAATCCAGAACAGGTGGGGCTTACTCGTTCGTCATCTAGACATGATTTGGAAAAAAGTTAATCGGTTAAAGTTAAAGTTACATCATAATCCAAAACATGGAGAGAAAGCAAGGGCCTGCTTTCATAGCCCGCCGGCCGGACTATGAAAGCAGCCAATGAAAACGTTGCCCTCTCCACCGTGAACTGCATGCCTGTCGATGCTAAATACCATTTCGCGACCAGAGGCTGCAGTTTTTATAAGAGGAAGGAATTCCAGCCTCTGAACATTGACTGTTCAGCCGAATCTATGCTGAAACCCCGTTTGAAAATTCCGTAATAAGAACGCAACTTGCGCTGATTCCACCCTCACTGTTATGGAATGAAGGGGATAGATAAGGACGCCTCATACTATCACTTCCCTTCAAAATTCTTCTCCTTGACAACGCCACTTGCCGGCTCATCGAAAGCCAAAATTGCTTCCTGGTAAATAACGAGCAAAATTAGCTTGACCGTATCTCCAAGCCGTTCGCCGCTCACCTCAACTTGTTTAACCTCTCTGTAGCATGCGATGGTTCTCCCTGAACTCTTTCCCAGAAACCTTTCCCAAACACAAGCCATCTCTTCCCTATATTCGGTTTTCAAGGTTTGCTGTCCCTGCCGTTCCCTACCATTCGGCTTCACTTTATGAGTCGTCTAAATGATGATTTAAGGACAGAATGCAAAGGAAAAGTCGCTGTTATGACGAACCAATCCAAAGCAGGGCCTGTCTCCAAAGTGGCACATGGGGAGGAGCTGGATGTTGACGGGGGAATCGCATTCCATTCTTAACCAGTGCTATTAAAATTTCGAGAGAATTTTCAGGATGCTTGTCAAAATTCTTAGATTTTTTAAGATCAATTGCTGGAAACTAAAAATAGCGCAAAGTGCTCACTCATGGAGCTAATTTACCTTTTTTATGAGGTTTCATTACGAATGAACAGTCAAATGGAACAATTTTTCTAATTAGTGCATGTGCTTGGATTGAATCTAATGGTCGAGAATTTTCAGGAACACAACCCTTCGGGTTAAGGCTGTTTAACTCAATAAAAATATCCATCAATCGATCTAACAGTAATGCTCGTTGTTTTGCTTACTATAAATTCTTTCCCAAAGAATTTCGTCCCATAGACGTTCCAATGCTCCCCAAACTTAAGAAATCACAGCGGCTCTAATTTACTTCTATATATAGTCTCATATGTGTCCCCTCTCAGGAAACAGAATCGACGTTGGTCATGCCTGTGGGTTGCTTTGACTCGTTCTGGTTGTTGTTAGTGTAAGCTGTTGTGAAATCGATTTATTTTATGTTGTTATTTGTCTAAATAGCTGATAATTTTTACTTGTGTTGGCTTCTTTGCTCACGAGGGATGTGCCGAGCTTAGTCTGCACGATTTTTTTGTCTCCTTTTCTATCTCGAGCAGTCTTGTGGTTCGCCTTCTTACTTTTGGCTGCAAATGTCTCAGTCGCTTGAATGGCTTATAACAGCATTTCCTAAGGTTTTGTTACTGCGTGGAGTCGAGATCGCCATCATCCTCTAATCGCTCACGTCACCTAACTAACAGTCGTTCATACTCTGCGACTGAGCTGTCTCCGCTAACGTGGTGACGGCTACACCTCTTTCTTTAAGGGTACGCCACCTCATACTTTTCATAACCTCCCACCTTCAAGATTGATGCCAATATTTCGAAGAGTACTCGCCATATACACCTATAAGGGGTTTCCTCAATAGTAATAGGAGTGATCATATCCATCGCAACGTAGTTGTTACCCTTAAAAGTCGATTGGTAGTGTAGATTTGTTATCGGTAGCGTTTTAATTTGAGTGTACAAACTTTGGACTGAAGTAATCTTCTGTTCCAACGCAACGCCCTCAGTGCCTTTTTTCACCAACATCGGTGGTTCCTTTCTAATCGACTCACTTCTCTGTGCTATCACCACATCTTGTGGAATGTGGACGAGTCTACCGCCTGGGTGTTGTACAAGAGTTATCACCAGATCACCATCAAGGTATCGGGTTGGATTCATTAAGCATAAGGGATTGGCAAACTCCCCCCTACGCCCCCGCCCCCATTTTTACGACCACTATTTTACGGGGGAGTTAGATGGCTCAGACACAGAATGGCAGACCCACTGCCTAATCAGCACAACGTTAATCCTTCATGAAAAACTAGTTGTGTTTATTACATAGAAGTGGTCGAAGCGATACAGTCTTCGAAATGTGTCCTTTTGGCTCAGTTGTTGCACAAAGAAAAACCTAGCTAGCAAGAACGCGAAGTAATTGTAAGTGGCAATGCTTAAGCACAAGGAAGTTGTGAGCCAGTTGTGATCCAGGAGCTAGGATCCTACAAGTTTGAATGGAAGTCGAATTGACACGTGGTGCCTCTGCAAGGTTGTCCCTACGTGCACTTTATCCCACTACTTCATCTTGCTCCTGTTGGCATATATGTTTTGTGCTAACTGCCAAGAGTAATTAGCCAGCCTTGAAAAGGCGCTCATGGGTGTTCGTTGAAAGAATATCAAAAAAGATTTCAGAGAATTCTCTCTGGTGTATTTGATCCATCAGCAAATTAGCTCAGAGCTTCTTGAAATTTGCAAAGTAGTACCTATGGAAAAAAATTGGCTTGCTAGCTCGAGAAAGCCTCTTTTGGGACACTAGAAAAATGGGATTAGCAGTGTGAGAGATTCAGGCAGAATATGCTCTGCTTTTCTGGTGATCAGCTTTTTTATTCCTTTCAGAGAAAATGAACCTCGTCCTAGAAGATGCTCCTTCATCATAAGTCTAATCGATAGATTCCGGGCTGGCGATGATGGAGAGCACCAACATGTTGATGAGAAGGAACAACCTGCTTTCATGAGCGTGCAGCTTAATTTGTTCCGGAAATCCAAATCAGGGAGTCGATAGAGAACTCATTCTGAATATGACTGCTGCAAAGTGGGGAGGGGGTAAGGGAAGGGGGGGGGGACTGAGGGATCGAGTGCACCCTGATGTTACGTTGTGATATCCGATCCGGTAACCACGACGCAAGGAGGCAAGCCTACTCTAGAACCTGAGGCAAAGCAGCGAGAGCCCTGTGCGATTATAAGCCCTTTTTGGGGATAAAGCTTCATACGACAGATTGCTATCCTTGATAACGCTGTTATCCTCACGCTTCGGATGATTCCAATACCAAGCATCTGGGTAGAAGGCTGAAAAGCTGGGGCCTTTCTAATTTGATGTAACCGCTTGCATTTGACCCACAGATATTGTTAAAAATATGGACCAAGAGGAATTCCTTTCACTCATTCCCTTTCACTCCTACCTTTCATAAGCATAGGTTAGCTGCAGCTCCCATAGTAGATAAAACCTCATATGTGTGGATTCCTCACCAAATACAACATCAATGTCATCGGATTTTCTCATCACTTCATATGGGACTTCCGCTGGATTGAAAGGTCTCTCTCTCCCTTGTGATTGTGATGAGCTGCTTATAAGATTTCTCTTGGCTGCCAAGCTGCTGCAGTGAGCCAGCCAAGCCGAAGCTAAGCCATATTCCTCAGTCCGCGAGCGCATGTCGAGGTGCCTAATCATCTACGGCTTGTAAGTTGACATTACTACTACTACTATGGCAGCCTCTACAACTGCCTTTTCCGTTTTTTCTCTGCCTCTTCTTCTTCCTCTTCTTCTTCAACGGAACTATCCCGTGTGCACACTTTATGTGTGCTTGTTGGAGTACTGTATGCATGCTTTCACTGGTATCGATTGAGACGATGTCGTTGTCGTTCTCTTCTGAGTGCATTCCCGTTTCAGAGCACGTCTCGAATCTCAGAATGACTACATGTGCTTATCTCCGAAGCTTCCCACTGGGCTACAGGAAGAGCTGGATTCTCGTTGCAAGAGTCCACAACTTGTTGAAATGCATACATTCAGGCGAGTTGTTGTGACATCCTCTAGTGAAAATCGTTCTTCGTTGCCCTTCCGCGTTGCTTTGTACAGCAAAACCTCACTGATAATGGATCATTGCAGAGATGCGGTGGACGTCAATTATCAGCGAATGGCAATCACCGGCGAAGAGCTTTCGGGTGTAAGTTTTGCGATACTTTTTTCCAATAGAAATATCTGAGTTCTGTCAATGTAGTCCACTTTTCCTTACCTTCGCATACTCAAAATCAATCCCAGATCAACGGCGCAAGAGTAACGAGTAGACCACGTTGAGTATGGCTCATTGCGGAACTCCCAATCACCATATCCGCTTTGGTTTCCTTAGCTCTAATCACGGAAACCCGTTAAAGGAAGGAAGCGATAAGTAAGAAGTGGGATGCTGCTCTGATACTGCTAGGAATGATGTTGTCGACATCTGAACACAGTGTATTTGCCCCAATGATAAAGTCCTTTGAGGTCAATTTGAGGCGTCCATCAATCCCGTCTGAAGATGCGCCCCCGCATTCGACTTCCATTCAGGATCGTAGTGGTCAAATAGTATTCAATGCGTATGTGGCCTACACAATGACTTGCGATGGCCATCCGAGTGTCCATGTCAGTGCTTTCATCCTCCCAGACTAGTCTTGTACCAATTATCTGACCCCGGAGGGATAACAGGATTGGTTAGTTCATGCGGATATCGATCCGGGATTCGAACCCGTGACCGTGCGTGTGTGATACTGCACCACCTCCGCCCACGCTCTAACAATGTTTGCTTCGAATTTTCTAAAGAAAGGCGCGTAAAGAAATGGCGTGGTACATAGAATAACCTTTTACAAGCCCCAATTTGGGCGTAATGCAATTCTTGAGTGGAAGAATTCTCGCCGTTTCGAGCAACCGCTTCCCAGACACTCGAAGCATCCTAAGGCAGATTAGAAACTTCTTTTTTTTTTCTATGGGTTTGAAAGGTAACAGGTCCTGGGGATGCTGCGTACATGCAAATCAGTCCTCTCTAGTATCGAGTGAAGCCATTTTTGAGCCAAGCTATCTATAAGAGGAAGATTAACAAAGTACTTGAGGTTTGCCCAATTGTTCAGCGTCAAACGCTCAGTTGGGTTCTTTTCCCAAACGTAGGATAACAGCTCCATCACGGAAACTATTGAAAGAAAGGTCGATCGCTAATAGTTAATTTAATAAAATTCTAGCTTTACCATAACAAATTACGCTGTATATAACATCGTATCCATGGCATCTGTTGATTCCTTACTTACGAGCTCTGTGCAGGTGCCACTGGAAGACCTGAAGGATGCAGCGACACATCTGATTGAAGCATTGCGAATGCGAAATGAGTACATGGAACGAATTGGGAACCAGTTTCCAGTCACCACCAAGCGCTTCCTGAGTGGTGAATATCCGGCGAATTTACCAAAATACCGCCGGAAGAACACCGAGTCAAGTGAGTCATTTGGAATGCCAACGCTTTCGTTCGTAGTCCTTTGCTTCCACTTGTGTACGGCAGTATTCTCTTGATGAACTGTAAAGTTCACCGAGATTTTACTGCCTGTTTTTGCTTTCCTTCCGCGGTGTTCAGTTTATTTTACATGCAATGCCATCGTCGAATCTTGATGGTGCAACGATGCGATGATTAAATTCAGATGTCGAATTATGTAGGTTCCATAATGCTCGTATTACGATTGACTTTTCTGTCCTCTATCCACAGACACACGGGATATCACTGAATTTTCATTCTCTCTACGAGCACTTTTTCGATTATTCAACGACTTCTACTTGTGAAATGCACATTGTGACTTCTTTCCATTTGATCTGTGGACCCACTAAGACGATTGCCCTTTTGTTGTGATTCCCCTAGGTCGCAGTAGCTACGTGTTCTCTCAGAGGCGCAGTTCACGATAAAAACGGTTTCTGAGATTCCACCTTGGGATGAAAACGTGACTCCTAAGGATAGCGCGAGGGACGCGGTCGAGTCGAATAATGGCCTAGATGCAACGTAGTAAGGCCCCCAAAAACAGCGGCTGACGATGACGTACATACCCAGGGGCAGACGGGTCCTTACGGCATTGCAGATCCCCCCCCCCCCTTCCACGCAGACAGCTTACTGAGGCGAGCTAGCTTCGCAATGGCACCGTCACTTGAGCAGCCCGTCCAAATACACCTTCCGTGCAACTTTCGTCGTCTCATTCTCGTCCAACACCTGAGTTTAGTACTCTTTCAAAGCCTTAGATTTCATTGAATATGCCGGTTTTCGTGTTTTGCGCTATTTTCGACCAACACTTCTAGTACTCATCTAGAACCAGATGACCCAAAGTTCGTGAAGTGTGCCCTTAAATATTCACATCATCCTTCCTGTTTGCTGAGAGAACGTGACGAAGATTAGGTTCTCGTACTGCCTTCCTATTGGCGAAAAACTTGCTTGAGGTTTCGCCGTTCGACTTTTAAAAGTGTTTGTCTTAGTTTACATTAGGAACGTGCCATGGACTCATTAACTGAATCTGGCTCTATTCTAGAAACACAAATGTCAAGTTGGCTTCTTACTGGTGGCTGTGGTTTAGGTCGACTGAAGATATTTCAGAGTTTTCTGCGAGCGTTATGCCGTACTTCTGGCCGCTATGGTTCTGACTTCATTGGTGTTATAGGCAGAAAAGGCAGTAAGGGATAGGAAACATTCACACGGTCAATTACTGAAAGAAGAAAAATTCAAAAGAAATCAATCAACTCACTCATCATCCAGTAGTATTAACTCTTAGAACTCCCATAGTTGAAGATAGGCGGTAGAAAGGAGGGATGGAAACTACGTAGTGAATCGAGCTACTGTTCACTACCAGACTGTAAGCCGTCAGTGAGGCAAGTGATTAGTAGGGATAACTCTCTAGCAACTCCGTCACCACTACCAAGTTCCGTAAGCTTTGAGCGACCTTATCTTCCTAATCCTCCTGACCTTTGCGTGATTGTTTAAAGAATTGGAATTCTTTCGTCCCAAATTAAAGCAGTTTTCTGTCTATCGCCCTTTATTGCCTCTTATTATTCTTCATCACAAAGCAGTACAACGTTAAGCTGACGAGCTGTAGTGGCTGTGCAATCCCGCTGAAGCCATTTGAGCCTGTAGCGATACGTAGTCCCAGTCTTAGCGTATGTATTCCTGAAGGATCGAGCAAATCCTAAGGGTGACTCTTGTTGGTAGCTACCAATCATACCTATCATTGAAAATCGTTCACCATCGCTAGGAGTTTGTCTGCAAGCGATGCTTATAATTTGCTGAATAGAGCTGATAGTTCATTTCCTAATTTGGAGAAACTATTATTCATAGCTGGAATGAGTGAGGTCTCACTTAGCACGGCTTTGCGAAGAAGATTTTCAGAGTATGTAAACACATATTTTACCGACTTTTTGCCCTTCTCTGTCGAAAGGACTACGCTTTCTGTGGACATTTCATGTCTTCATTAGGAGCAAGCAGCAAGGTTTACGAATTGCAGATACAATTTTCAGTCTTGTACTATTTAGAGACGGAAAGGAAGCCATCGATATTTTCCCGACCAAATGGTAATAGTTGTTTGAGAATGAAACTAACCAGATTGTAGTCGTTCTTCTTTCCAGACCTTACCATCTCTTTTTTTTCAATATTGTTGTGTTACCCAAACTAAGTATTATTTTTGAATATTGCAGTGACATTTAATATTCTTTACAAATGCATGAACATTAGTTAGAACGAGGGTCTTGTGAAGTATCTCTTCACTGCAGCGTTGTTTTCATAAATAAATAAATAAATAGCGTTTCTCAGCTCTTAAAGGGAATGGTAGTCTTGGATGAGCTCTCTGTGCTCCGCTAAAGCTCAGACTTCCAGTTATTCGGATGGCATTTAAGTTTGGCTATGGACTCGAACATGGAAAGCAGATTAAATTGTTTGATTATTTGTCTCGCTGGGGACGAATTCTGCTCGGTTTCTATTGCTGCTTTTTAGCCTGGGCTAAACTGACGAGAATCTTTTCCAAACTGAGAAAGTGGGGTTTCCTTTTGTGCTCTACACGAATGGGCTCAGAAATGAACGAAAACGATAATTCCGTTTTATACGAGCCTACATATAATAGAAATAGAGCGCCGCATCATCGACGCATCGGGTGCTTCTAAGGGAGGCTTATGCATCGTTCGGGGCTCAATGCCACATAGGTGATTGATTAGTGAACGACAGGAATGTTGGGGAGGAGTGGTAGGGGAGTAAGTTTCTTTCCCCAGGTGACCCATGAGCAGTTCAAGTTCAATGGAACCCCACTGCTTCTGGGGTTCTTACAACTACTTCTCGCGCTAGTCTAACAGTTGCTATGATCCTGATCTACAGTTCTATGATTTGATCAAGTACTTTTTCATACTTTTGCCTTCCAGATGGTATTAGATGGACGAAGTCGGTTGTTGAGGACCTCATCAACTATTTCTAAAATTACTGTTTGCTATCATATCCAATTTTTTGAGCCGTACCAGAGCGGGCTGATCAGCCCACCGTAACATAACCTGGTCCTCGAAAATTACTCGACTGTGTCGTGCTCTTCTCTATATTCATATAGAAGTTGTCACTCACTGACCACTTTTCTGCAATTTAAAAGCTAATGGGGCATCATAATAATAATGAGCAGCTGAATCTTAAAGAAAACCTCAGACTGCGGAAGTTGCTCATCAGGGTGGTAACATTCACTTTAGTTTATAACAGCAGTATAATACAAATAGTTCAGCGTAGTTGTTGTGTAACATAGTAAAAAGTAACCATTATAATATTCACTGAGTTTTTCTCTGGTTTTCCTCACATGTGGGACCCTCTCCCAGTCGCCTCACCCACCTCAGCTGAAGCATCCGCACAATCGAGCTAAAAAATGAGTTCCATGTGAGGAGAATCCTGATCCGTACGATCCCCCTAGCGAGTGACGATTTCCTTTCAATCTTCGTTCGGAAGTACTTGTGAGGGCGAGTGCACTATCACTACTGCCTACTTAGCCTTCTGCATACGGACCATCCCTCTACTCCCCTCAAAACTACATGTGTTCGTGTGTGTGTGCATTTCCTCTTACTCCTATCGAAGCTAATTGTGTGGTCCTCTTCGAGTCTGGAGCGACAGTGATAGACGTTTTTTGTTTTGCGGAACGAAACGTTGATTACCGTTCGAAAGTGAAATACTTCCTATCTCATTTCAGCTGCAAACACATCATTCAATCCACCAGAGCCACCGAAGGATCATTGGGGTCTGAACACCCCACTTCCAGTGTTCCCCGTCAAGTATACGTTGCGTAGACGTGATGGAGTTGTGAGTTTCACTTCCGGTCATGGATGGTACCAATCTAATTAGCTCAAAATTCGGGTTTCAGATAGAAGTATGTGGTGCCGATGGTAAACTCAAGCCCGAGTTTGCTAAGTACTACATCTCTAAGGAACAGTTCTTGACCGACACTGAACGCCTCACCCAGATGATTGTTGATGGACCATTGTGGGTTTTTCCTATTCCAGGACAGTTTCCCCATATCTTTTTTCAGGGAAAACTCAATTTATAATTTGTTGAGCTACAAAAACGATCTATTCGCATTTCTCGCCAGCCACCTTATTTACTTGTTTGTTGAGAAGATCTCCTACCAGCGATCAATAGAAAACCTTCCAGAAAATCGTTTTGCTTCCGACGTCTGTCGTATCTGCAGAACAAGTTCCAGTTGCATGTGCTGCTGAATGAGCTTCGCGAACTTCACGAACAGAAAGCTGTTTCTCATAGAGATTTCTACAATATCAGAAAGGTAACGTTCCTTTAAACCATGTAGGTATGAGGGAAAGTTACCTAACTAATGGAGGAAGTTCAGGTTGATACTCACATTCACGCTGCATCATCGATGAACCAGAAACATTTACTTCGATTCATTAAGAAGAAGATCCGAACCGAGGCCGATACCGTGGTATTGGAGAAGGTCCTGACTCCATCTTCAAATCCATCAGATCCAGAAGTTTGCCGTCTTTACCACATTCAATCATTACTAGTGTCGTAGACATTACGGTCATGCGAAGTTTCAAAGCTGTCCTCCCTCAATTCTATGAATTTATGAGGGAAAATGGGTTTTCTCTTTAACCAGAAAGGGCCAAATTTGAGGAGCGAGCGATAACAAGAAGTATTTTCTGTATATCTTTTCCGGTGCTGTAAGCCTTCGCTGCGCTCCGTTTACTTCTATGCGACTCATTATCACTATAAAAGTCTACTGTACCAGTGCTTTGCTTTGATTTGATTCCTCTCTGTCCGGTTTGGAAAATGTGACTTCGGTTGAAAAGTATGAAGCTTCGAATTCAAGTACATAGCATAGCCAGGGTTAGCAGCCATCAAAAGGAGTGAGTGGGGGAAGTCGGATTGAGCTCTCATCGTTGCAGTCGTAAGCTGCATAAGGATGGCGTCAGGCAGCGATAATTTACCATCACCTTACTATACGTGATCCACTAGGTGTATCGGGTTAGTAGAAAGACGAAGTAGATGGAGTTGATCCTGTTCAGTCATCCGTTCTTGCCCACACGTACGTTTCCGGTACGGTTATGGTCCCGTAATCATAGAAGATTGCTGATTTAAAGAATTATAGGGGGGTTAGTTCCGAAAGTCAATGACTGGTACTGCCATTCATTGGTATTTGACGCACACTATCCTAATCGTCTTACATACACAACTGCACTTCTATCACTTTCCCATCTTACCAGGCGATTCTGGAACAGCAATGAGACTAATGTGTAGAGAGATTAGAAAGAGTATGACCACTTACACGATCCCACCATCAAAGTATCCTGATTTTGCGGTCGTTAATGTTGTACAGAGCAATTATCAGGGTACACTACGTGTGTCCTTCATGGCTGAGGATTAAATATGATATTCAGAATAACAGACCCGTCACCATGAAGGAAGTCTTCAAGAAAATGGGAATCGATGCTTACGATTTGTCAGTAGATATGCTCGATGTGCACGCCGACAGAAACACTTTCCATCGTTTCGACAAGTTCAATACGAAGTACGCTCAAAAGCTTTTTATTTCTGACTCATGACATTCATTCATTGCAATTACTAGGCCTTTTAGCAAGACATCTCCTAATAGGACAGCCCGGGTAATGCTAAAATGTTTCATACTCTCCACAGAATCCATAAAAAAAGGCTTGGCCAGGTGCACTCCTCGAGTTCGCGCCGTCAAAACCAGGTCCTCTGGTGTGGCTGCCTCATTTTGGGTGCACCCATCTCGAGGAAGACGACTGGCAGACTTCTGCAAAAACGAATACCAACCAGAACTTCCCACACTTGGCTAGGTAGACCAACTTCATGGCTCGAGCAAGCCTTGTGTCAGTGTGTCGGACGCAGGCGATTAAGCGTCTCCCAACTATGGCTCAAGCTGTCATCAACGCAAAAAAACCCTCCATATCCTCTGATGGGCGCTCATAACAATGGGCTAGTTGTTGTTAAAGCTATAAGCCCAAAAGGTCCTTTATGTTCACATTTCATGTCCTTACTTTCGGTAACTGACCATTTAAGGTATAACCCTGTTGGTGAATCGACATTACGTGAGATTTTCATCAAAACGGATAATTATGTTGGTGGAAAGTATTTCGCTGAAGTGCTCATGGTAAGAATTTTGTAGTAGTTGTAGGACTCGAATATGACTACTGATGACTAGGACTTTATCCAATTCAGGAGGTTCTTTCGGATCTAGAGGACTCGAAATACCAACATGCCGAACCTCGTCTGTCCATATATGGGCGAAGCAAGGTTGGATTTTTATGCTATCTTTATTGTCCTAGATTCCTATTATTCACATTAGTTTGACCAGACAATCTCATGATTCCTACTAGTCAGGACCTTCCGACGCTACAGCCGTCTTAGCGGCTTTGCTTCCCTCCATCATTCTCTACATACCTAGGTTCCAAGTATGCGAGAAAGCTCATATCATTACCACCGCCATGACTCCCTCAGTTAGTGTTAAGTCCATATTTTCACGTATTAGGCAGGACTGCTTATAGGAGTTGATATTGTGGGAAAGCACACAATCGCACCCATGGTGTGGGTCTGGAAATCTCATACCAGGTCGATACTCGCCCGGACCGACCAAGCCGTGCACAGTTCCAGACCGATTAATCGCTACCAAAAGCCCTGACTTGTTAATCGGGTGATCACTACACGTCATTGTGTAGATCATGTATTAAATCAAAAGGACAACTGAATCTAAATGGAAGTGGAATGCAGATCCCAATACTAGAATAGGAATGAACAACACCCGTAGACCGATGAGAATTCCGAGACCCTAAAAGCCTGAATTATCAGGAGAATTCCTCTAAATATTACTTATCTTCTTAAATTTCAGGATGAATGGGATAAACTTGCTAAATGGGCCATCACTCATGACGTATGGAGCCCTAATGTGAGATGGCTGATCCAGATTCCTCGTCTCTAGTGAGTAGAAATTTGGATTTAGCATTGAAAAGTACAAGTAATGCTGTTATGTGCGGCTGAATTTATCGATATTTTAGTGATATTTACAAGTCCAGAAATATGGTGAAGAATTTTGACGAGCTTCTTGACAATGTGTTCACTCCTTTGTTTGAGGTCAGTATCAATAAGTTCATTTTTTTTGAGATTAATCACCAAACAGAACATCACCACTTTGCGAAAGAATATCGTTTTGCCCATTCTAGATGTTTGTAGGAGTTAAAGGCACCGTTCGCGATGATTCAATGGGCGGGTGTGTCGATGACGTGTNACACGTCATCGACACACCCGCCCATTGAATCATCGCGAACGGTGCCTTTAAGGATGTGGTCAAAGCTAAGCGTGGCTTAGAGTTCTTATTAGGAAACTAGGAAACGTCCAGTTATGGTTTGAGCACGAAGCGCTTCAGCCATGTCCATTTTGGCTCGTAGCTATCCGTCGAGAACGCCCTGCTCACACTTCAGAGTAACTCACTTCCCTTCCCTAACTCCCCCACCCACCCTCCCCCAGTCCGGCAGCACACTATTTCATATGGCCATATAACATTTAGATCTTCTGTCTTTTGTCTGTAGGGGTATTTAATCAGGTAAGGGCCCAATTAGAGATTTCATAGGTACTTTGAAGGTCTCTCCTGTTTTCTTCTGCCAAACCGCGAAGATAGGTCCAGTCAAAAAGACTACCTGAGACTTTACTGCCATGTTTGATAGAAATGGTAACGCCGAAGTGCTTGCCATGTTCTATAGTGGTCGGCAAGGACTTATGAAAGGCACTGGTTTCGGAGCTAAGAAATACTTATTTCCTTTTACAGGCCACAAATGATCCATCCTCACATCCTGATCTCTATCGATTCCTTCAACAGGTTTCCGGTATTGATTCTGTCGATGACGAGAGCAAACATGAGTTTGTTCATGTAAGTACGACTGGAACCTTGCACATTAAGATTTTCTCTCCATTATTTGTTGCCGTTAAGTTTGATCGATCAACTCCCTCTCCCGATAATTACAAGGATGCCGAAAATCCGCCGTATAATTATTATCTGTTCTACATGTACGCCAACCTCACTGCTTTGAATGCATTTAGAAGGTAAGGACTACTACAAAACTGATATTTTCGAATTAATCCCGAACGAGGCTTAACCTCCCACGTTACACTGTGTGCGTAGAAATCTGCTGACACTTTAGAAGCCCGAAGCCGGGAGATATAACCTGTGCGTATGTGTGAAACCATACCTAACCATAGGAAGCGCCCCGAGGTGCATGTGACTTCCTATATTTGTAAGCAGGGTCAAGATATTATACCATTCTTCGTTGATGTACCGGGAAAATGGAGTCGCAATAGACTGCTTTCATTGTACAGGGTGTCCAAACTGCTCATTCAGTGCAAGTTGGGAAATTTCGGGTGGAAGAGGCGGGGGGGGGGGGGGGGGGGGGGGGGGGGGGGGTGTCGTAGAATTGCCTGTGATTCCAATAAGGTAGAAAATCTCCTTACTGTTTTTACGTTTAATTTCCAGGGAACGAGGCATGAATACGTTCTCATTGCGACCACATTGCGGTGAAGCTGGTCACGTTAATCACCTACTTACCGGATATCTCACCAGTGAAAGTATAGCACACGGTATTTTATTACGAAAGGTTCGTACGTTATGAACAATTTATGTGTTTCAAAAGCACATACCACAGCATTCGAGATCTACAGGAAAAACTGCTTAGAAGGTGTCTATATAGCGGCATAGGCATAGATATCGTTGTCATGATTGAGCTTCTAAGAAGCGATGTATGTAGTTCAAGCTCTGAGCCAGGCAGCACAGGATCCTAACTTCATCTCGCTTTGAAGGCACAGTTCACACAAAAATGGTTTTTGGGGTTTTTTCTTGAATAAATCTGTGACCCTTCGAGGATCTCCCAAGGATCACCATTTCCGCCTTTTCTCCGCCCTCGTTTGCTATTTTTTTAAAATTATGCGTCTAAAACTAGTCACCCCAAGACTATCCTGAACTGTACCTTTAAAGTAGATGGGGAGTGCAGCCCCACACTGTTGAGTGGTTTCTATTGCGGGTACTAGATTCTATAAGTTGGTTATCTTAAGAGCTTACCTAATCCTCTCCATCATATTCAGCGACCTAAAAGATCTCAACAAATGCACTTTCCCTCTGCGCCATTTCTGCGCCATCAGTAAGATCTTTAAAAATGCGCAATCGCAAGTGTGGCCATACAGCATCAAAATCTGCACCTCAGCCCTCTAAAGGATAAAGTCCTGGAGCATAAACAATCTCGTCTCTTGGGTGGTCCCACGCATTCAAGTTCCATTCAGAATCGTAGTGGCAGATTGAATTAATATGTAGCATTCACAGTGACCTGCGGTGGCCAGCCAATGAACAAGTGTGTGCTCTTATCCTCCCACACAAGTCCGGTACCAATTGAGTGACCCCGGCGGGATGGGAGGCTTGGATGGCCTGGGCGGATACCGATACGGGAATCGAACCCGTGACCATGCTGTGTGAAATGCGCTACTTGCCACTACACCACCTCCCCCGTAATACTTTACCCTCCGGTCTTGATTCTCGATAAAACAGCTTGGCTAACCCATAGTGCAACATGTTGGAATAGCTACAATACTTTCTACATAAGTTGATGAGAATGATTCAGGTCCCAGTTCTTCAATATCTTTTCTATCTAACAAATATGGGTATTGCAATGTCACCTTTGTCGAACAACTCGTTATTCATTAGTTATCAACGTAATCCACTTCCGGAATATCTTCAAAAGGTTCGTTCTCAAATTAGATCACTGAAAACTCGCTTACTTCTAAAGCTGATATTTCAGGGGCTCAATGTTTCCTTGTCAACCGACGATCCGCTGCAGTTCCACTACACTAAGGAAGCTCTTATGGAGGAGTATTCAATCGCAGCACAGGTAGTGTTCATTTGCACACCGTTCGAATCACAACTGGATATTGTTTTACTCCCATTCGGAGTTCTGTGTGGGATTTTTCTGGTTGCGAATCCTTTGGTAATCATCCTATACAGTTCCTCCTATACAGGTTAGCATCCTTATACGGATAACGGGAGGATAACGCGAACGGTAGAAGGGAGAGAGCTTCTGACAACGCAAACTCGTATCGGAATGAGCCACGCATTCATTGCCCATTAGTTGTAGTGTCCCGTACCTCAGCAAAGGCTTGGAAGACAGACCGTTGATACTCCTACCCAAATTGGTACTAAACAAGTCCTAGGAAGCATCTAGAGCTGGCTGGCTGGAGCCAATGTACAGTCAAGTTTTGTTCCTAGACCGTGGCAGGGTAATAATGACGCTACTAATTGTTGCTTCTTTCCATCCTACAGAAAACGGTTCCAAGCTCTTTCTGATAGTAGTCCTGTTCAGGTATGGAAGCTGAGTTCATGTGATATGTGTGAATTGGCTCGTAACAGTGTTCTACAGAGCGGATTTGAAGACAAGGTGAGTCAAATTATCAGCAGCTTTTTTTACAAACTTTGGTTGAGATTCATGTGAAATTCGAATCCTTTAGGTAAAAATCCATTGGTTAGGTCCTCATTATCAAGAAGAAGGAGTACTCGGTAATGACATTCACAGGACGAATGTTCCAGATATTAGGTGAGTTGAAGGTCAAGCAATTAAGTAGAGAAAAGATTCCTTACAGAGGAAGTTTTGTTTTAGAATCTATGAAACTTCCTCATAATCTCCCTTTTCGTTTCAACCCCTCGGCCAAATTAGCCAGTTCCTAATCTTCATTCTTGATTATGGCGATTTACGCCGCACACCGTGGTGTAAGATGCCGCCGTGCACTTGTGCTAGTTTGGCAGAGGATCTGGGATCGTACTTGACTAGCTTTTTTTTACGGAAGAAGAGTGTGACGGAAGGATGGAATGGTTTAGCCCTTATAGCTTATAGTATTAGTATGTAATCGATCTAAAGTGGGGTAGTGAGGTCTGAAAAGCCCAAATTGTGCACCATTCATACTTCGCAGATTAAAACGCCTATCAGGTACATAAGGTGAACGAAATCGTGAAAAAAAGCACAAAAAACTTATGGGGTCATCTAATAGTTGTTGAATGTGTCAAGTGATGGATGGAGGTGGTATAGTGACAACTTTCATACTATCACAGACGCACGGTGCAGGGGTAGATTGGCCGGAGCTGACCAAGCTCCTCAACCTTTTGGGTCGTCTGGGCTGAGAAAAGCCCTGCCCTGCCCTGCCCATTGGCTGACTATTGCAAGTCATTACATAGGCCTCATACCTATCCAAACGCCAAGACTATTCGAATGAAAACTAAACACAGGGCGCAAACAAAGGTGAGATTGATCAAGTACAACGACTTCATTGTCCTCTTATGTGCCAAGTAATGATAGCTACTATATAAGCAGGCGACGTAAGCACGTCTCGTACTTTGCCATACATTAGTCTGGGTGCCAGGGACCTTACCCAGACTAAGGTAGGGACAAAATATGGGACACTTGTCGCTCGTACTTGACATTTTTATACAGTACGAGAAATTTTTTATTGTTTGCAATTCATTTGACCCATTTCAGGGTTTCTTTCCGTCATGAAGCACATGTGGACGAGTTGTGCAATCTGTTCCGCGTTCAGCATTTCACAAATCTGGACCAGTGATTGTGAAATGATTTGACAGGAGGAACTCGAAAGAAAAATGATCTTCTTCATCTTAATTCTAATCGCTGACACCGATTTATATTCTATCTTTTATAGTACTGTAATCATCATATACGTATCGTGGTTATGGGTTATTTCACACATAGGCTTAGAGGACTTCATATAAAATTACAGTTTTTCACTACCTTTAATCAATTAGAGAATATCATTTTCTTATAAAAACCAGGTCCAAGTATTTTTCCGAATATTTCTGTGATGACGTAGTATTCTGAATTTTCTTATGTTATATGTAATACTCACATTCCATTGGGCTTTGCATGATCTTGCTGATGAAGTTAACGATTTTTTTTTGAAGGGTCGCTACATGTAAGGAAAGGACATAAAATTCTCGACTCTCTTCCCAAACATTCGTTGAGAAAGCGTGTCTTATGCAGAAGAGTTGTTTTTGTTACTGAATTCGAATTACGTGTTTCAAAACATGGCAACGTTATGGAGGTGACGGCAGACAAATCAAGCCTAGACAGTTTATACATTTTTACAATATTCTGTAATGATTTCCTAATATTAAAGATTATCGGATGTGTTTGTGGCTTCGATAAAAAAGGAACAGACAGCACTCAGGTTCCGTTTTAAAATGAGGATAAAGTGTACTGTTCTTCCTGAGCACGAAACTACAATTGAAAAGATTAAAAGAAGCAGCACCTTGTACGTGTGAGTGCTGATGAGCTATGGCATATAAGCCATTAAGAAGGGAGGGCAAGCGGGGCCTCGGTAGTGTAAGGGATAGAGCACGGTGCCCGAAAAGCACAAGTACGGGTTCGAGTCCCGTCCGAGATCGAAGTTTTGTCCATAAATCACCAACCTTGTGAGATTAAGAGAAGCAATTTCAATAGGTGCAGTTCACGATAAAAATGGTTTCTGAGTAATCTCTGTAAATCTCTGTGGCATCCCTGTAAACCATATGTGGCGGTCTCAGAGATTGTACCGGCTCAATGCCACACCCATAGTGGACGAGTTTCCATGGCGTATTAGAGGCACCATCTCGAGGAGCTACCATGAATTCAATGAACCAGACGTGATTATGGCGATAGTGAAATGCGGTTTCGGACACTTTCGGCTTAATTTTGTGTACTCTACACGTGATCGCAACAACAGTAATCTCGTCCTAATACAGCCCACATGCCACTGCCGCTTTCATAGCCCGCCGGCGTGCCGGCCGGCCGGCGGACTATGAAAACAACCATTCCGTCATGATGATCTCGTACAATCTCCATTTCCAATACTTTTAAGGAGCCTAGTTTTCTGCGATGTCGACGGATTTCTTCACTTTCTTCACCGGTGCCCATTCTTCACCAACACTTCCGCTTTTCAACTCAAAAAGTGCCTAACATTTACCGTGACCTGTTCTTTTGAGTGGAATAATACAAGCTATGGTACAGAACAATGTTGGAGTGTTTTAAAAACGCGAAATCGGAGGATGTCAAGAATATGATGCTTCATAAAAAAAGTAATTAAGGGGTTGTACGAAATTATGTGTCTGTAACCGTCTGAGTGTCTCTCACATTAGCGTAGTATTCGTTGGTGTCCTAACGCGTCGCTGTGAATGGCGCAGCCTCAACAAAGGTGTCACAACACGGCCACTTTTAGGTGTGTATGTCGGGAAAGCGTTCTGTAGCCCTTTGCAGCCCTTATAACGCCCTCTCGAAGTCGTTTTTGATCCGACAATGTTCCACGTGCTATTTGTGGTAGCATTCATCCTAGGAGTAATCACGAAGCCATTTGTATCGTTAACTGTCTCTTTGCAGATCCCAAGCTTTTTTGAATTAAGGCACGAGTTTTTGGTCGCGGCTTCACTGACTGACTAAGAATTGGACGACATGATGTCAAGGGGAAAGCGGCTCTTAAGGCTCTTCAAACATGTCTCTGAATAGTATTTTTCTATGTGTACACCTATTCCGCTCACCTTCACTTCTACCAGTACCAGTCAGACAAGCTAAAGTAACTTTCGAAGCGAAAGGTGTCAGGTTTACTGTGGAGAGAGATACATAGCTCCTGTGAGCCTGAACTCACCTCACAGCTCTACATTACTGAACATGGTTAGTGATTAGCCCAGATTTTCCTCTATGCGCACTTATAAAACGGGTGACTGCCTCTGCCTGTAGTAGACAACGGTAGAAAGCGGATGTGAAGGTCCACCTCTTGGCTCTGGGTTTTTCATCGAGTGGACTTACTTATTGGAGATCCTTCGTCGTTCTTGTTCGAGGCCTACTCAGTTTTCTTGTCGAGCTTCTTCTCTCTAGAATTATGGAACTATATAAGATCACAATGTTTATGGTCCCGCGAAAATGCTTTTATTATGTATCATTACGAACCGGCAGTAATTTCACTTCCCATTTGAGTTGATGTTCAGCTCGTCGTATGCATTCCCGGTCATGGGGCAAGGCCTGCACAGGAAGGATGTGGAGCGATCTATTCGCAAGCTTTGAATGTTCTAAGATTTCTCCCAAATTCTTCAGGGCGGTCCCATACGATTTTTGTTCATTTCCCATTTTTTGATTCTTCAAATGCAAGGCCTACGTATGTATGTTTGGAAAGCTGAAGCTAAAGCAAAAAGGCAGAGGTGGATTCATCGCGGACCCAATTTTGTTTTAATTGTAAGCAATTTTTAACATTATTGCATTGTTAGCTTCGAGTACCCTTCGGTATAATTTCAATAACTCGCCTAGAAGAATTTTGAATATTATTTTACGATAACTCTACTTTCTTCCTTCTCCTTTTGAATTTTGGCATTTCAGGCATATGAACTCTAGCCTAGAGCTTGATGAAAATGAAACAAAAGATTTTCTGAAGCATTTGGGAAAAATTTAAAGGGATCTATAAAGTTAGGGCGGAAGTGGTGTAGTGGCAAGTGGCACACTTAACATGCCCACGATAACGGGTTGGAATCCCGAATGGCCAACCAAGCCTTCCATCCCTCCATGGTCAACTAATTGATACCGGACTCGTCTGGGAGGGTAAAAGTACTGACACGCGCATCGGCTGGCAAGCCACTGTATAGGCCACATACCCATTCATTACGCCTCTTCGATTCTGAGAGGAAGTCGAATGCGGGGACTCAACTTTAGCCTTTATTCTTTACAACGTTTGGGATAACCGTCCCATAACTTCTTCCTCCTGCAGACCTTTGGCAAATCTTCCAAACCGATCTAGCGGCAAAATTTCAATACAACAATACCAACCGGTTTCCTCAAGTTTTAGAGATGGTGTGTTATAGATCAGCAGGGTTCAAATGAGGGTTGTTTATTGATTGCTGACCTCATGTACGGATGTTTAGAACTCAAACGGCGTTTTCTTACATGGAGAAGTGGACGGCATAACCAAAGATTTCTGCGGAGCAATCTTGGGTTTTATGCCCACGAACTCATAACTGCCCTGGGGCAACAAAGCCATAGATGCAATGAGAGTTTGGTATCGAGAAAAAAATTTTGAAAAAAATAGTGAAGCTGATTGGCAGAATATCAAGGTTTTTTCGCTGCGGGGTAGTTTGGCTTTCAATCCTTCGTAACTTCCATCGCCTATTAATCGAAACCCGTTTTTCCCACCTGTGGTGTATTCCTATGGATGGCTATGTTTGTTGTTGTTTTGAAGGCTATTGCCCATAACTGGTGTGATTTGAGTACTGACGAGTAGTCAATAGGAAACAAATAACAACAGGGAAAACAGAATCATACACAGAAGAGAAGCCAACCAATCGCGGCCAATGGAACACTCGGGAATTAGAAAAGTACGGAAAACCAAAAAACGATGCTAAACAACGCAACAGGGGGTCTGCTTTGACTCTTCACTGAGGGACCAGCGAAAATAGAGCGTTGGAAAAGACCGTGTTCGAGCACTGAAAACAATCATTCTCTAACTGATGTTCGAGTCGTTTCAGCGCAGTAGAAGAGTTCATATCAGAAGGGAAGAGAAACACGAAAACAACGAAAGGGAGTGAAGAAGAGGAGAGAAAGGGAGGCGTCAGGGACGTGTCAGTCGATAGTGGTTGTTGTTTGTATTTGTTCATTGTGCCAATGGCGCAAGGCTTCAAACCGGTCGCGGCGCATTTTCCTCCCGACGGCGCCTAGTGTCGGTGGCATTTCACCTTCATTTTTGCATAATGATTTCTTGGATTTCTATAAAATCTGTTTACTTTCGCTTGCAACTTTGCTTGTTGTTCTTTACTGGTTTTCTATGGTTCCAAATCGTTTCTGCTCTCCTCCACTTGCTAGTAATGAGGTGTTAAAGGTTCCAACAGATGGCATAGCGAGATGTTACCTTTTGACAATTTGTGGCAGAAAATTCTGAAAGCTGGCAGAACAGAATTGTAGCGCATCTTCACCTTCGCAGGTCAGTATATCAGAAAAGGAACATCGTCTATCCACTTAAAATCGTAGCTCCCAATTATCGGAGTTGATTCAGAGCTAAGAGTTCAGAGTTAAGAACAGGGCTGAACTTTGATAAGCCTTGCAAATAACTTCGAACTTTGTCGATACGATAGGTATTCCATGGTCAATATAGAATGGCAATGCTGCTGACTGTTCTAGTGGGCATGACGTTGTTTTCGAGAAAATATCGTTGAATTCACAGATCGGGAAGTAATATGACATGGGGGTTCGTAGTTATAGCGTTGTACTGAATAACAAAGAGCGTTAGTTGGTCCGGTATGTGCAGAACACCCAGTCACCCGAGTTTCATTTTGAATCGTCTTGGTTTTAGAATGGATAATCCGTTCATCTTCCCAACAAGCCTATGTGGGAATCGACGTTTTCACTCTACTAGATGGCCTGGTGCCACTATGCCGGGTAGGAACGGTAGAGCGGTTGGTTGGCGCCAGACATCTCGCCAGGAAATAAGGAACATGTGTAGGATACTGCCACTGCACGACGCTAATGTCTTCCTACGGCGTTTTTCAATCATAAGTACTCATCCTCAACGTCCACATACCTCCTTTACAACTCTTT